GCAGATACCAACCTTCCTGGGAAACCATTCCACCCACACGTTGGCAGTGTTTCCATGTGCTCCTTCAAGCTGGTCAGTGGTCCCTTAATGTGTTCATGTGTCCTACAGTTATTGCTACTGAGAATGAGGAAGAACCATCTATTTAGAAATACGGATATTTGCTTGTATTTATTCTTATACTAGAGGCCCTGTGCATGAATTCGTGCACCAGTGGGGTCCCTAGGCCTGGCCTGCTCTGTAAAACCTAACCTTTACTAGGGGCTTGATAAATATTTAAAGGTAAGAGGAACTTGAAAATCAATTTTGAAGACAAAAATGGATCTGCTTGTGAGAAGTAAAGGCAATATTAAAGGAACTATTAGATGTTTTTTTGAAAAAAAAATCATTATAAAATTAGAAGTTAAGTTAGAAAAGTACTGTTAATGTTTATTAATTCATTGGGGTAAAAAAGAAGTCGTTGAGCTCCTGTTATATGTCAGGCATGTTTTCTAAACACTATAGCTAGAACAGTGAACACCATATGAGAGCCTGCAATCTATATATATAAAAGCCAAAATATCCCCTTGGGAGTTTGACCGACCGGGAGTTTGATCGCTTGCTATGACGTGCATTGACCACCAGGGAGGTGGAACGGAATTAAGGAAGGCCCCGGCTGGCAGCCTGCCGCTGCTAGGGACCCTACCCGTGCACAAATTTCGTGCACTGAGCCTCTAGTCTAATATGTTACTCTATTAAGGTTCACCTCAGGCATTTTATCAGGTCATCCCTCTGTAATAATATGTAGTTAAGAATGTGGGTTAGAGGCTCCATCTGCAACCCAGCATCACCTGTTAAGATAGGATTGGTCAGGAAAGGATGCTTGATGACCTGTCCCCATCTTGTCATCCACTCTGAAAATCCTCAGACAGAGACTGCAAGCTGAATGCTCAGGAACTTTAGAGAGGGAAAAGAGTACAGCATTTGAATCATAGGTGCATTGTCCAGTACTACAGCTGCTAGTTACAGGTGACTATCAAATGCAGTTATTCCGAATTGAGATGCATTCTAAGTATAAAATGTACTGGATTTTGATGACTCAGTATGAAACAGAGAATGTAAACTATTTCAAAAAGTTTTATATTCATTGCATGTTGAAATGCAATCAACATGCAATAACTTATACATGTGGCCCCAAATCCACCCATTTAGGGGATATGCATTTGATTCCCAGGTCATCTCAGTGCTATTGCATAATAAGGGCTGACTCTTATTGAGTACTCAACTCATTAACTGAAATCTCTCTTCCAAGCGCAATACTTGTGTTTAAACATTTAATCTTCGTAATAACCCTGTTAAGGGACCATTTCTCCAGATGAATAATTTGAGGTACAGAAAGGTCAAGAAACTTGCCAAAGGCTACAAATCTAGTGAATGGAAGAGCAATGAGGCTTTAAAACTAACTAATCCCGTGGCTCTCAAACCTGTGTTCTATCACCCGAAAGGCTTGTTAAAACACAAAATGCTGAGCTCCACCTCCAGAGGTTCTGACTCATTTGATCTGGGGTGTAACCTGAGAATGTGCATCTCTAACAAGTTTCCAGGTGACGTTGATGCCTGCTGATTTGCACACCAATTTGAGAACTATTGGTCTAATACCACCTACCTCCAATCTTAATAAAGTCCTCAGCCTTTTTGAACCATAGTTTCTTTACCTTAAAGTGTGAATATTTCATAAACCTAACTCACATACCATAAAATTTAACATTTCATATGTTTTTTAGTATTCACAGTTTTGCAACTATCATCACTATCTAATTATGGAACATTCCCACCACTCCAGAAAGAAATCCAATACCCATTAGCAGTCACTCCCCCATTTTCCCTTCCCCCAGACCCTGGCAACCACTAATCTACTTTATAGATTTCCCTATTTTGGACATTTCATACAAATAGAGTCATATAATATGTGGTCCTTTGTGTCTGATTTCTTAGCATAATAGTTTCAAGGTTCATCCATGTTATAACTATCAACACTTCATTCCATTTTATAGTCAAATAAATAAGATTGTGTGGGCACTCCACATTTTGTTTATTTATTCATCAGTTGATGCATATTTCGGTTGTTTCGCTTGGGTTATGAATTTGTGTGGATGTATGTTTTCATTTTTCTTGGGATATAACTAGGAGTAGATCCAGTAGGAGTGGAATGAATTTCTGGCTCATAAGCTAACTCAATGTTTATTTTTGAGGAATTATTAAACTGTTTCCAAGGCACTGTACCATTTTACATTCACATTAGCAATGTATGAGGATTCCAGTTTCTCTACAACATTGCCAACACTTGTCATTGTCTGGTCATTTTGATTATAGCCATCTTAGTGGGTATGAAGTGGTATCTCATTGTGTTGTTTTTTATGGCGTAGGTATATTTTATTAGGTTTTTTTCCCCCAGAATATTTTATTGTGGTTTTGATCTCTACATGCCTAGTGACTAATGATGTTGTTCATCTTATCAATGCTTATTGGCTATTTGTATATCAATATATTTCAGAGAGGAAGGGAGAGGGAGAGAGAGCTAGAAACATCAGTGATGAGAGAGAATCATTGATCGGCTGCCTCCTGCACACCCCCTACCAGGATTGAGCCTGCAACCCAGGCATGTGCCCTGACCAGAATTGAATGGTGACCTTCTGGTTCATAGGACTAGGCTCAGCCACCGAGCCACGCCGGCTGGGCTGCATATCTTCTTTGGAGAAATGTCTATTTAAATCCCTTGCCTATTTTTAAATTGGGTTACTTGTTTTATTTATTGTTGAGTATGAGTTCTTCATATATTCTGGGTACAAGTCCCTTATCAGAGATATATGATTGGCAATTTCTCCCATTCTGTGGGTTGTCTTTTCACTTTGGTGTCCACTGAAGCAAAAAGTTTTAAATCCTTTTTTATTTGTATATCTTTTAAATAAAAATTGTGTATATTTAAGGTGTACGATTTGATATACATATGCATTGTGAATTGATTACTACAGTTAAGGTAATTAACATATCTCCTCACATATTTAACATTAAAAATCTTTTAATCTTGATGAAATCCATATCTGTTTTTCCTTTTATCATTTATGCTGTTGGGTCACATCTAGAAACCATTGCTTAATCCAAGGTCATGACCATTTAAGTATATGATCCATTTCTAGTAATTTTTATATGTTGTGTGAAATAAGGGTACAACTTCATTTTCATGTGGATATCCAGTTATCCCAACACCATTTGTTGATCATAAGATCTTTCTAAAATTTAAGTAAAAATATTTCATAGGCAGTATTAATTGCAATATGTTTATTTTTTACAATACTTTTTTTCCCCCTGAAGTGCTTCCCTGCTATTCTATCAAAGCTTTGTCAGCACTATATTTCGAACAAAGCAAATGTCCTCTTGAGTTAAAACCTCAAGTCAGTAATGACTGATCACAATAAGACAGGTTTATTCAATCAAACTCCCTCATTTATTGTTACATATTAAAGTACCAAGATTCCCACCATTTTGTCATCATATATTAATTCTCCCATTCTCACATATAAGATGAGGAACAAAGCAGTGTTTATCCTGTATGATGCTCCTTTGTGATCTTATAATACCAGTTTGCTCTTATATATGCTCATGGTACCCATTAAATTGATGATATAAATACAAATTTGAAGTGTGGTGAGTTATTCCCATATGCTATTATAGTAATTGAAAACAGAGCAAAATAAGATGAATGCTAGAAAATAAACAAAAAATATTTTTAAAATGCAGGTCCTATTGTGGGACTGACAGCAATTAATATACATAGATACTTCTTTTCCATAGGGAGTCAGTTAAATGGAATGTCAAACACATTGTCCAAATATTGTAAGAGGGGTGCAAAGGGAGTGAAAACAAAGAATTGAAAAGGTGTGGGTGCATTTGGCATCCAGAGAAGCGAAAATTGTAAAGTAAAAATTTTGAGGTATGCCCCTAAACTAAGGAGTTCCATATTAACAACAGGAATAGTTAGCATTCTGGATAGATATACCTCTGTGGTGCCCTAACTGTAAGAGGAAGTTTCAGCAAGCTATCTCAGCTTAAAAACATTCTCTGTTTTTTGTTTATTTGTTTTAAAAATATTTTTTTATTGATTTCAGAGAGGGAGGGAGAGGGAGAGAGAGATAGAAACATCAATGATGAGAGAGAATCATCTATCGGCTGCCTCCTGCACGCCCCTACTGGGGATTGAGCCCGCAACCTGGGCATGTGCCCTGTCGGGGAATCGAATCATGACCTAACGTATCTCCTCACATATTTAACATTAAAAATCTTTTAATCTTGATGAAATCCATATCTGTTTTATTCCCTGGCTCTACAGTCATTAAGCTTATAGCTGTCTTTAGTTCATTTCTGAAGTGGATACCTAGAGGGGAAAAAATTAACTTGATTAACATAAATACTTTACATTATAAATTAATAAACTTTTCTGGTGACTTTATAGAACATAAGCCTAAACTCTGCTAGATGTTTAGAAGTTCTGTATATAAGAACTGACTGAGGACGAAAGACCTAGGCTAGCTTTGAGTACTAGCAATATTGCTGAGTAGAGTGATAATAATGAAATTAGAAACCAAGCCACAGAGCCTTGTGCATTTGTTCCAGAATCACATTTTATTCAATAAAATTCTGGTTAGTTACTCTCGTGAGTCAAATGATAGAAATAAAATTTGAAGCCAAATCCCCCCCCCTTTTTTTTAGTGTATTAACTGACTAGCTCCTTAGCATTCAGAGAATTCTGGATAGAGATATACATATCCCAATAATATGTTCATGGGGATGATTCTTGTGTTATGAAAATGCCCACTGAATTTGGTTACATGCATCTGAAAGTTCCTAAAAAATAAATACTAGCCACAAATAGGAACCTGATCAACATTTTTTAAAAATTTCTTCTGAGTAAGAACTAAAAGCCAAATGGTATCATCATACAACTTCAAATTAGGGACTATGACTGGAAGATTTTAAAATAATTTATTAGCTTTAACAACTTTTCCCATGCTTATTACATTCTTTTTTGGTGTCCACATTCCTGTCATATTCAGTCTAAACTTCTTAAGCAGAAATGGAGTGCATGTCTATGCAGTTAATAGGAAAGACCTAAGGAGTATATGAGTCACAGCAGTCTTGGAGATGAGAAGAGAGGAATCTCTAGGGATGGATGCAATAGGAACAGTATTAAAGAGAAAAGGAATACAGGTTATGGGATTCAGAGGTATAATTTTCAAGTCATATAGTATTAAAAGTCAAGCTACAGAGCCTGGTGAATTTATGTTCCATAAAACTCTTGTCAGTAGCTACCATGAGTCATAAGTCTTTATTACCACGAGTCCCTTGAGCCTACATGAGAGAAGGAAAGGAGCATTTGAAAATTACCTTGGGCCAAAGACTGGACCCAGCAGTTCCATGAGAGAATAGCTTGCCTATTTCCTGGTGGTCCCACCAGGTGAACTTCTCTTGAATCAGGCACTGATAACAGAAGCCATGAGAACAACAGACACCACAAAGGTGATGACCGTACCCCACCCAGGCTGCTTAGTTTCTGGCATTGACCTAATCAGGTCTTCTTTCAGAACCTGCAGTCGCCCTACTGTCTCGTGACTTCTGATTACATGTGGGGTTGTTGCTACATGCACACCAGTGACTGCATTGAACAGCTGATTGCCTCACTCTGCCTCACATTACCTGATGAGATCAAGCAATGGTGTGTTAACCCCAAGGGCTCTGGGATAGCAAGCAGAGACAAAGCCAGCACAAATATGAAAGCCAGTACCTAGGATCTTATGAAAAGCATGCATTTTTAGGATATTAAAAAGCAAGCTGTAGTTAGCTTACTTCTGAATTCTGGGGCTGATTCCAAGCGAAGCAAAATTCCCCACGTCCTGGGTAGAGCAAGCCTATACGTGTGGTAGTCTTGATGTCTTCTCCCTAGGGCCTAGGCAATCACTTCTCTTCCCTTAGAGCAGCACTGCCAGGTTGCCAAGGAGTCTTCCCCTCATGTGGAGGGGCTGATTCATAAAACAGTGACTTGCTTGGTTACACTGTGTCCTGGATTCTAAAAACTGAGCCGGAGCCAGGGTGTGGACCATCTATGCAATTCTGCCCCCGGCTTGTGACAGCATGTCCTGGTATTTAAGCAGAGTCCATGTCGTGTTCACTTGTACGAAGAAAATCTAACAAAGGAATAAAATTATTATAGGCCTCTTCACTGACAAGAGAGTCAAATCTTCTAGTCAGTGGTTAAAATGGATAACAATGAATCATTCTAAAAAGCTCTGATATTAGAATGTTAGCTCTAAAGTAATTTCTTAGGTACTACTTACCTATTTCATTTCATTAAGCTTTATAAACCTCTTTCAAGGTAGAGTTTCATCTATTTTACAAATGGAAAAATTACTTTTTAAGATTGTAATTAATAATAAAGCTAAAGAAAAATAACCCTAAAATTTTAATCTTTATTTATGGTGGTAGGATGGGAAAAGTGATTTATTACACTTCCATGATAAACACATTTCCTGTGAATTTCTTTTAAAATGCTGTTCTTTATTCATCCTTGCGATTTTTAAAGAAATGTGGAAGCAGAAGGAAAAATATACATTTTAAGGAACTTATTCAAAGCAAAATTTTACTTATATGCTCTTTTGTTTCTATTAATAAACTTTATTTTTTAGAAGTTTTATGTTTGTAGGAAAACTATGAAGCTAGTGTGGAGAACCCCAAATAGCCTACACCTCATTTCCGCTATTATTACCATGTTACCTTAGTATGTATGGTCTGTTTGTCAAAATTAATGAACCAATATCAATACATTATTGTTAAAGTTTATACTTTATTCAGATTTCCATAGCTTTTACCTAATGTCCTTTTTCTGTTCCAGGATCGCATCCAGGATATCATACTACATTTAGTCATCATGTCTCTTTAGGCTTCTCTTGACAGTGACAATTTCTTAGACTTTCTTGGTTTTTGATGACCTTGGCAGTTTTGAGGTGTATTTTGGTCTTAGCTCTATCTCTATCTCTACCTCTAATTCTATCTCTATTAGGTATTTTGTAGGATGTTCCTCTATTGATATTTTTCTAATGTTTTTCTCAGGATTAGACTGGAGTTACAATTTTTGGGAGCAAGACCACAGAGATAAAATGTCATTTGCATCCCATGATATCAAGGGTGCTATCAACATAACTTACCACTGTTGATGTTGACTTTGATCACCTGACTGAGGTAGTGTTTGTCAGGTTACATGCTCTTTTGAAATTTTATATAATTCTACAGAATGATCTCTTCATTAAAAATGTTAACTTTAATTTTAAACGTAATTTTTCCAAATAGCAGTAGAAATAGCACTAGCTATCACTGAACAGATTACAATACATAAGAGATGGCATTGCATATTTCGGAGAGTGTCAGGAGGAGGAGTTACACAACAGAAAAACTGGTTTAGTGAACCTTAAAACTCATCATAAGTACAATTCCTATGGAGCAGGTCGATACTATCAGTTCTTCACTAGCATATTTTACTCTGCAAAACATGTTGCAACCACTCATAGGTTATTTTTCCCCCAACTTCCCTACGAGGAAGCAAAGTAGAGCTTCCTTGGTTCACTTTCAACAAAGGAAAGGCTTTGGAGCCAGAGACTGTGTTTGATTTTGAGCTTAGCCACTTTCTACTGTGCCATTTTGCAAAACTTTTCAGAGCACTTCATCAATAACAAAGGGCAGTGGCCAAAATGTAAAAGAACAGAATAGGAGCAATGTGAAGTAGGTTGGGTAAGGTGGTATGTATTAGTACAAGGTGGAGAATATGAATTTCATGGCTCTTATATACCCATAAACATGTTTATTCTTAATGCCCATATGCTTATGGCACAATAGAAAACACAGCGAATATTTTGCTAAGGCCTCTTGATGTAGTGGAGACTCATCTTACCATCTCGCAATCAGCTGAATAAAATTTCAAGAGCTCAGGATTTGGAGTCAAAAGACTTGGGTCTATCCTGAGTCTATCACTTTCTACTGTGTGGCCTTGGGCACTTACTTAAGATCCATTAGCCTTGTTGTAGTTGGCTATAAAATGAGTATAATGTGGGGATTAAATAAAAGCATCTAATACATCAATGAATGCTAATTACATCTGAATTTTAACTGACTTTGGAGAAGCTAGGGGTCAACGTGGCTCTGGGACAACTAGAAGAAAGCTACAGAGCATTCTCAGCTGTACTTTCAGTGGAGGAATTGGGCTTATAATATTCTAGAAGGCCATTATTTTGATTTTTTGTTTAAGGCTAGTTCTTAATTTGACTCGGTTATTTTAGGCAAGACTGTTTTCAAAAGACCTAAGTGATGTTATTAACAAATGGGTTACATCTTCTCTTCACAGAGTTAAGCCTCTAATTATACCTTGAGCTGATTTATTAGTACTACAGGCTTAAACATTTCCTAACTATTAAGACTGACTAGAGACTCAGGATAACTGTCCACATGCAAGGGATCTGAATGGTGAAAACACCACAGAAGGAGAGGTGATATTTTGTGGATGAGTCACAAGGAAAGGCTCAGAGAAAGGTATTAATTAGGGTAATAGGAAATTATAACAAGTAAAATATGGGTTAAGTATCAGTGAATTTCCCTTAAGGACATACTTCCTAGGATAGAAGGGAAGAGTCTTCTAAAGGAGGCGATTAAAAACTCCAAGCTTAAAACTTTTTAAATGAGACTGAACAGAGTCCTATGAACATTATAGAGAAAAGAATCCTGCCCCGGTGTGGAATGGGGTGTGATGGAGTGATCTAAGAGATTTTTTCACTGCTAAGGGTCTCAAATCGCTGATCTGCCCAGTAATTGAATATGTTGCAAACCCCCAAGTACATAGTTTCTTCCTTTGAGTGTGTAGCTGTCATTTCTATGGATACTATTTCCTTTGGGGCAACTTTCCAATATCACTCATATTAATATAAAACTGTAACTCTGCCTTAATTTCATATATATATATATATATATGTAAATTATTCTTCCAGCAAGGAAATTTCATTTCTCAAGATATAAAGAATAAACAGTAATTTTAGTTTCCATTATTTACTTTGCACCCTTATTTCATTTAATAGCTAAATCCACCTCCAAATATCTCTGAAATCATCTACTTTTCTCACTACCTTGGTTTGTCCTATACTCATCTATCTCCCAGATTATTATAACAGTCTCCTGAACTGACTTGTTTCTCTTCTTATCTCTCTTTAATCCATGATTCACAGAGCAGCTAAGGTGATCTCTTCAAACACGAATCTGTTCTAAAAGATTTAAAAAGGAGAGGATGTGAAGAAAAAGGAATCCTTGTGCACTATTGGTGAGAATGTAAATTGGTGTAGCCACTATGGAAAACACTATGTAGGTTCCTCAAAAAATTAAAAATAGAACTACCATATGATTCAGCAGTCTGCTTCTGGATATTCATTTGAAGGAAACAAAACACTAACTTGAAAAGATATCTGCACCTCTATATTTATTGCAGCATTGTTACAATAGTCAAGATATGGAAACAACCTAAATGTCCATCAATTGATGAATGGATAAAGAAAATGGTGTGTGTGAAAGAAAGAGAGTACTGGGATATTATTCAGCAGTAACAAAAGAAGGAAATGTTGCCATTTGCATGGACCTTGAGGGCATTATGCTAAGTGAAATAAGTCAGACAGAGAAAGCCAAATACCATATAATCTCACCTTTATGTGGAATCTAGTCTAAACAACAACAAAACAAACTCATAGATACAGAGAACAGATAAATGTTTGCCAGAGGCAGGGTGGGGAGGTGGGCAAAATGGGTGAAGGATACAAACTTTCAGTTATAAAATAAATAAATCCTGGGAATGTAAATTACAGCATAGTGACTATAGTTAATAAAGCCTTATTGTATATTTGAAAGTTACTAAGAAATTAGAGCTTAAAAATTCTCATCACAAGAAAAAAAATTGTAACTCTGTGTGGTGATGGATGTTAACTAGACTGTGGTGATCATTTCAGAGTATCTATAATAATAAAAGCATAATATGCTAATTAGACCGGACAACCTTCCGGATGAAGCCGGGGCTGCAAGGGAAGCCCGGTCCAAGGTGCCTGCTGGAGGCCACAGAGAAGCCTGGGTCCCAGGTGCCAGGGGGAAGCCAGTGCCGGCAGCCGGGGGAAGGAAAGCCTACTCTTGCACAAATTTCATGCATCGGGCCTCTAGTATACAAATATTGAATCACGTTTATACACAAAACAAATATGTTATATTTCAATTATATCTTAATTTTGAAAAATCCAGACACGAATCTGATTGTGTCATGCCCCTATTTAAACACACCACCTATCTTCCTGCTGCCTTCATATGAGTTTCAGATTCTTTATACAGAGCATTCCTCTCCAGGCTTATCTCACTCCTCATCCTGTCTCACATTCAGCGCCCCAGCCACCCTGGATTATGGGCAGCTCTCCAAATACACTGGCTCTTTCTTCCTTGTCTTAGTTCCTTCTATCCTTAATGCTTTCTAATAGTCCTGTTTCACCTGAATAACTCTCATCATACAGATTTAACCACAGACAACTTGTTCTCCAAATATCTTTAAAGTGTCCCAAGACAGGATTAAATACCCCTCCTGTGTACTTCCAGGCCCCCTATGTTCACTTCTCTGCAGCTCTATCACACTCTAATATTCCTTAAGAGATTATCACCCAGCATGATGGACAGGGACTGGGTCTTTTTCACTGTGTTTTCTTCAACACCTTCTACAATGCTTGGCACCTAGTAAATACAATGTAAAACTTTGTTGACTCAATAAATGAATAGCAAATCTTCCCATGGGAGAAGTAACACATTGATTCAATAGCATAAAAGGGAGACTAGTTAGGGAAAATTACCTAGGGAACTTTGTAGAGGAGATGTAATTAAGACTGGGCAGAGAAGTTGGTATTTAGGG